CTCTTGCCCCCCCCCCCCCCCCCCCCCAGCTTAAGCCCCATCTACACTGGGCAGTGTCATTACTGTAGTATTTCACCTAATTGACTCTTTCTTCTGACTTCTGCAGCAAACAAGTTAATGGGACACGCATTACTGCAGGGACTTGTTTCTGTCTCTGACACATGTTGTTCATAATCATCTTGGCTGATATATCGGCCTAGATTGTCTGGAGGGGTCCACACATAGTTGCTTCCTCTTTGTTCACATTGGTGCTTTAAGGTCTATGTATATTTACTGGTATACAAGAAATGGTTTGGATGATTGCTTTTAAGTAGTAGATTAGAATTTTGTGATTTTAATATCTGATAAGTCAGGAGGTTACTTAAGGTGGGTGTGGGTGTTTGGGATGGGTTGTTGAAGAAAGGAAGTGGGGTACATTTTGCTGGTGGACAAATCACTCAATTTCTTACTAGTATGTTAGTATGCCAGTTACACTATTCTTTTCTTGGCTGAAGTTACTGGTAGTATTGTCTGACACAGACTAACAGCATGAAGAGATTTGATCTCATCCAGCATGTATCTTATATTGGGTTTGTCTGCATTACTCTGTGGTCTGGCAGTGATTGAACAGTTTAAGTGAAATTAATGGAGGTTTTTATCAGTGTAATCCTTTTGTCTACACTGTGGACGTATTGATCTTCAAGTTGGTGTTTTCAAACCTTCAGCTGACCAAAGTATGAAACAATATGATACACATTTCCTCAGGATTAATATGAGATAATGAAATTGGTCTGGTGACTATGTGTCGGTATAATTGCACATTTTACATAAGAATCGCCTTATCTTAGTGTGATATGGAATTTTCTTTCTGATATTAATAGTAGGTGGAATATTTACCTGTAATGTCTGCATACATAAATGACATTAAAACTGGCATGTACGCAGTAGATTTCTATTTAAAAGGAGACATTTATTTTAATGATATTCAGTGCCCCAAGGTAACTTGTGCAGGCTGGTGAGCTGGTACACCTTTCTGCTATATGTGAAGTTTTGATCAAACTCTGATGTCATTTTATTATTATTATATATTTACATTCAGTGTCCACATCTATATAGTTGAAAGATAAAATGGGCTGCACAGGTGTATATATTTTTTATCAATTCACATGTAAGAACTTTACTAGTACCCATGTATTGGAGTATTGGATTGAATATATGTACTAAGTACTAGTACTACTAGTAATCAAATTTTCAATGTTCAGAGGTGGTAAATTTTAGGGGGGAGGGTCAAATTAATTATTTTTAGTTACGACCTGTTGATGGACTTTTAGATCATTAAATGTTGCATACTACACTAATTTATATACTGTAATAATTTTTTAAATATAAATTCCTGGATAGATGTGAAAGGTTTAACTGTTGATTTGTGGCTTCAGACTTGTTGATTAACTTTTATTAGTACATCAGTAAACTTAAAACAAGTCAAGATATTCTGTATATTTTGATCATGATCTTTGTAGGTAAGATTTTTGTGATGATAATTTGCCAAAAAATACCTGTAAGGTGATATATATATATATATATACACATGTAGGCTGTACAAAAAGTCATCAAGATACATTATATTGACATGATTGTCGGGGGTATTTACACTACCTGAGCTTCCAAGAAAGGAGGGCATTTCAGTTGTTGTATTTATACAGTGTCGTGTTTACGTCTCCATAGCAACGCACATTACATATCTACAGTGTCATTTAATAGGATCACCTTCAGGTGTGCTCTTTCAGTTCTCAGCGTATTATTATGATATTATAGGTACAGGTTTAACATTACTCCTTCTTCTTTGTTAATGTAGGACAAATATAATGAGTACTAGTAACCCCCCTTTTCAGATAAAACAAGGGAGGAGCAAAGTGTTGTCAAGTATATGTGGGTGTGTTTTGTATTTCCACCTAAATAACGCCTGAGCTGTGATGAAAAATAGGACTGAATTATAATGGCTCTTCTATCTGTGCATGGATGTTGCGATGTTTGATTTTGAGATCAAAACACAAACAACTTTGACTGCAGGGTTTCGCCAAAGGTGTGTTGAGCATTTATTTTGTGTTTTTGTAGTTTTGAACTTCCTCAGGTGTGACAAAAGGGAGCAGTGTTATTGTTGATGTGGTACTTGATAACATGATCAGGTAATACCGTAACTACCACTTGAAGGCAAACAACAGAAGGTGGGGGTGCATATTAAAAATAATTTATAGGTCTGTGTTTATTCTAAATTTAGTGTAAATGACAAAAAATAATATAACTAATTATTATTGTACAATTTTCATTTTTTCCATTTGTATAGTGCGCTCTTTTATTTCAAAGGACAAGTCATTTGAATACCATGATTATTTGTCACATTTTCTATAAGGGGAAGTTGATAAGTTTTATTACAGTATGAAAGCTGTCAAATGAGAAGACACTTTTGTAACCTGATTTTAAATGAGAAGACACTTGTAGACTTTAGCATTAGGTCCAATTCCCACGTGCCGAATGAAGTGATAGGTTTTTTCATTTACGATTTAGGTGATAAATGTTTTTCCATATTTAAGGGATAATAACTCTTCGTTTTGGCCAAAAAATGAATCTTCGTGGAGTGAACAACAATTTTTCCATACTTACCAATGGTTAATAAATCCATTTTTACATTCAAAGTTAGTCCTTGGTTTTTTTTCTAAAAAGTTTGTTTTTTTGTTATAATCTCTTAAGAGATTATAACAGAGTATAGCTATCAATGGAGGTCATGTGGTCTAAAGACAAGCTCAGATATCAGAATAATAGCTATAACTGTCGTTTTTCTTATACATTAACAACAGAATACATTATATTTCTATGAGATGTTCACAATGTTTTTATTGTGAAATATAGATCTCATATGAAAAATTATTATCCCTTTAATTTCTTCTTCTAATTGCTGTTTTTTTAAATTTATCTATTTAATGGGTGAGGGATTATTTATCTTGTCTCGTGATAATAATAAGGTTGCATCTTACCATGACATTAGACATTCTTATAATTTGCATTGATAAATTTATATATATAAATGTCCGTTTCATGCCTGAGTTAAGTCACCTGTGCTTTCCCAGTCTTTGTGCTTAGAAGAAGAGGTATGCTTGCTATAGAAAAGTATGGCACTATGTAAATAAATAGGATGTGAGATTCTCATTCTCTGTCATAGCAATGGTGAAGGAGGGATGTATAGGATATAAGATAGGCAGGGTTATATTTACCGAGTAAGGGGTTCGTGTTTGATGCGGAATCTTACTAGTACTCCTTTAGATTCAGGTACAGGATACTCATTTACTAGCAGCCACAGAGTTTATTAGACACTCAGCCTAGACAGTTGGCCACTTGGGATTTTCTTGAAAGACCTTTTATTTTATGGATGCCGAATGGTTGACTTGATTTTATTATACAGCTATAGTTACTGTATGTATGGAAGGTTGTTTGGTGGAGAGGCTGGCTGGAGCTGCCTCAGCTCGATTGCAATCCACCTTCATCCCAGTGTATTATCTTTGTATTGAAAAGCAGTGTATATTATGCAGCACATTTAAAAAAGAACCAGGGAGAACAGGATGATGATATTTTTTTATTCTTTGAGATGATCAAGTTGGAAGAGTAATGTTCAGACAACAAAAGTGATAAAACTAATATACAGAAATACAGAATACTGAAAAGCAGGTGATTATCTGAGTACATTGGAAACAAGGGGAGGCGTGCTAATCTGTTAAACTGATTGCATTCAGCAAGAGTCCCTACAGAGTTGGATTGATCTATGTAGAA